ATGGGCAAACTGTCGCTGCCACCTGGGAGAACGGTACGTCGAATAAGAACCGGGACATTATCGTTGCCGAGCCAAAAAATTATTAAGATTTATGCGGTTCAAGCCAGATTGTCGACTCCAGTTTAAGAATCGAACACTAGGCATTTCAATGGGCTAGGTCTCAATCTATGTGCTATCGAACGTGGGCGTTGGATACGAGGGATAAAATACTGATATAACTATAAAATTACATCTCGGTACGACTTGATGTTTTTGTAAATTACTTTTACAATGAGGATATCTATTAATAGTTTCGATAATCAGTCAAGTGCAATTTAAACTTATAGACACTTTTCGCCCATCTCTGTGTGTAATGAGCATAGAGTGCACGAACGTTGCACTAGTACAATATAATACAAACCTACGAATATTAAGCTCCACTTGAATCGTAAGTAGGTACATTTAAAAGTGATGTAGTCCTCAAAAAAAATGTGTGGGTACACGCCTAAATCACTGTTGAAGTTAAACGGCTGGGACACCTCCGCGTCCCTTTCAACTATCTCAATGTGTGTAATAACAGCCATACCGTTATCTAATATTAAACATTTTAGTTTATAATTAAATACCTAATTCTCAAAAATGAGGGAGAGTGTAATTGAACACAAAATTTAACTCATCACACAAATTTAAATTATGTTATACAATTATTAAGGTATATTGGTATTAAATGATGTGTATTTATTGTTTATATATTTGTTAAATACTTTTTAAAGCACTTGAATGATTTTTTCATGTAGTCAATCTATAAACTAGGAATTCTAGGCCTGCCCCAAAAAATTTTATAGAGCCAAATGTTGAAACAGTTCAGCTCTTTAAAATCGAGAAAAAACCTTAAACATTGATCTTATATTGCAATACAGCAATATAATAAACACAGCACGTTTTAACTTTCAGAAAACCAACTAAAATAGTTGTACATTAACACAATAGTGAATAATCGTTATTAGGGGTTTGGTCCTTTAAAATGTTGTACAAATTTATTATATTATATTTTATGGGCCAAAACTTATTAAACTTCAACAAAAATTATTTTTCATAATGTATTCAAAGTTTTGAGAAATAACCAAACAATTCACATACAAATTTGTATTTTTAGGATTTTCTTCAGGTTTTAGGTAAAAAGTTTATAAAAGTTCTTCGAAATATTATTTTCGTTTTCATTTATGTAATACAACGGGAGCAACAGTTTACAAAAAAGTAAAAAATAACGGAAACCTAATGGCTAGGCTAGTATACAAGTAAAAACCAATAAAATTACATAAATCATTTCCTCCAAATCAAATGTTATCTTTTTTTGGGACAAGTTATTAATCTTCAGGTCTGAAAATGAGACCAAAGATAAATACTAATAAAATAAGTAATAAATAAATAAGTATTTACCAATTTTAATGTACAGTTTTAATGTTTTAGTACTAGTAGTAGAGCCCGCTAACCAGTCAGTTCTTGCGTGTACCCTTTACTACACCACTTACATATTATTATTATATCTAGTTGATATTTTGCCTTATTTAAAAGGCAACCTTATCAGATATCTAATACAATCTAAAACTGTTAATTTGTGAACTGAATTATTTCAAAAATACTATACATTAAAAGTTAAAACACATATCAAAAAGATATATATTGATTTAAGATCACATATTCAAAAGATTACGTGATTTAAATTTGTTCAATCTTTGCTAGTATACACTTTATCTAGAATTCACTTAATAAACAATTTGCAGTATTATGTGTTCCTGGTAATTAGTTTTATTTGTTTTTAATAGACACGATCGCTGTTTTATTCTATAGTAATAATAATATTTTGTACATTAGCGAAAAAGTGACTTTGCCACCCTTTTCCTTTATTATATTATAATATTAGTACTTATTAATCTTTCAAAGTCGATTAAAGTTATAACAGAATACTCGAGTTTTATAAATGTCTTTTGAATGACTTTTTTTTAAAATCAAAAACAATAAATTCCATTACTATGAATTAATTGTTGAGAACTCATGGTCAAAATCATGGTTGAGAACTTGATTAGAGTGAATTTAGTTAGTTCCCCTAAATATTCCATAAATTCTCAACAATAATTTTGTTTTAATGCACTTGGACTAGTTTAGGTTGTGAATTGTTTTTCATCGTGTGCGATTTGCCTAAAGAAATATCTTGTACTTTTTTACGTAGACGTTATGTATACCCAATTTGTAGTATGTTTTATGACTGTGTAAATCTATTTTTTTCATTCGAATTTATATCAAAACAGAATTACCCAAAACAATATGAGTTGCAGTCTTTTGTGTTGTAACAAACATTTATGGCATAAACTATATGATTTTCTCCAAAGATTTAGCTGTATGTCATCTAATATTGTAGGCTTTCGGTACAGGTCCAGCCTGCCTAACCAATAATATAATAAAACAATGATAAGTATTTTATATATTATAGGTATAATAATGTGTTTTGTAGTGTCTTATAAATACCTGTGTAGGACATGACAACAGTAATTATTGTAATACAATGTAGTGATCGTAACGGTTGCAGTGACACAGTTAATGATAGTGATTTGTTAGGATCTACTCATAACACAGTCGTATTGTGTCTGTTGGACTTTACACCTGACACGAGGTTTAGTTCGAGTTCTTCTTAATCATTAACGATTTGTTTTCAATTAGGTATGCGTTCGTTGTATACTATTATTGATATTGGCAAACGTATGCATTATGATGGATGTGCTGTTTAGGAAATTAAAAACAAAAGATGTACACGCCATGATACTTAATAATATGTAACAATAATAATAATCATAATGAAATAACTAAGGTATTAGCAAAGATCTTACAAGTTATTTCAATGAAAATTGCATTATTTTCAACAGATATATCGATAAAAGCAACAAGAGATTAGAGTAATGTACTTATATAATTTGCGTATTCAGTCAAAAATAATAAAGCGAAGGTCATAGAACAATTGTTGAATAAATGGTCGGTTTTGCACAAAACTTATATTATTATTTTTATCTAGTATTGTTTTTTAAAAGAAAATTAATTAAAACTAGTCTGCGTTGTATGATTTAAAAATATAATCGAGTCATTCTTTTCAGTTGCTTTTATAATTGTTTACAATTAAATAATTTGAGGGAATTCTGTAGCCTTTTTATCCATTTCGTTGTTTTAATAAACATTGTATTTTCTATTTAAATTAAACTAATTGCTACAGTTTTAATTTATCAAAATATGTTTTATACGTTTTTTTGTAAAATTATTTCATCTTGATGTTATTATGATCTTATAATACCTACATGATTGCATATTGATTTAGTATATTGTTATCAAATTCTTTATTTTTAATACACGATAAATTACGTATGATAATAAAAATAATGAGTAATGACTGTGTAATAGTAAATTGTTATACGTTTCGTATAGACAATAGATTTGGCATTATTATTTTTGTTTTTGGGAAATAGTTATACTATTATTTTGTAACATTGATTAACGGTATAAACGATAGGTATTAACGATTTGAAATAATGAGTTACATTCATTTTAAAACGTTAATAACACTGTACAACCAAGTTCGCTTAAGCCTTTTTAACAGTAAAAAATAAGAATACAAGTAAAACATTTTTATCGAATTTTTTCACAGAATCCGTCATCGGCCACAGATGTAACCCATGTCTTAATTGTATGCGAATCGCTTGTAAAGTTGCAAAAAATCGTGTTTTTTTTTTGTGTTACCAGATAGCACAGTCTAAAATAATTATTTCAATAACATTGTGAAAATGTTTAAAACATATTTTTTGACCGGAAACAGTTCAAATATTTAAAAAAAAAATTTTAATACAAAAAATGTTGTACTTTATTGGTTAAAAATATGTTTAAAATTGTTATTTAAATTTTTGTGCTCAACTCAGAACTTACCTTTGTGATTTATAGTTTTTCTTAACGTAAAACAAAATTTGTTGTACTATTTTTTTTAAATGTATAGTATTTATATAATATGGAACTATGTATTAAATATAGACTATACCACATATTGCATAGTGTAATTAACGAATGAAAGGACAGTATTTTCAATTCAAAATCTAATTCGTTTACTATCGAGTGTCTCGCCAGACGTGCCTAGTATAATACTTTCGTTTAAACACATTTTTTAATACGAAATCAAATCGTGAAATCGGATAGATTCGTCACTTGGATATTCATAGGAAATAGTCTTGTTCTACCAGGAAGTTTTGGACGGTCCACGATCTGACGGGTCGCGCGTGACAACATGATTAAATAACGCGTTCTGCGCTCGAGTGACGATCAGCAGTACCGTTCGATCATGTAAGGCGATTTGCGGTGTACTTTCCTTGTTATAAGCAACCGCGAACGAAAACTGTATAGGAGTAGCAATCGGTTAAAGGATGTATTCGGTTGACGTCAAAAGTTATATATCTTTGAAACGCACAGCGAAGACAACGATAGGAGAATAAACGGCGGCGGACGCGGTACTACATTTAAGAAGCCTGCGATCGGCGACACTCGTTAAGAGGGTAAACTCCACTTAAAAGAAGTAATACTGCAAATTTCTCATTAAGTCCTCGGGCTTGCAAATGCAATCCAAAACGGAAGAGGTAGAAGCCTTTTGATTTTTATTCTCTCGCGATAAAACCCCACGGTTTTGTGTAGCTGTTAGTATTATTGCTGTACCGCGCGTTACACGGGTAAACACGCCACATAATTGGGTCGTTTTTCATTTTAATCAACCGCGAAGAAATCCCCTCCGACAATTTCATTAATTACTTTTAAATTAAATTTAACATTCGGAACAGACCGAAACCATTAAAATGAGACCCTTGTCGTTTTTATTAAAACAACAAATATTTATCAACATAAAAGACGGCATAGAGCGTCGAAAACAGCAACCGCAACACACCTTAAAATGTCTTAAAGTGTGAAACTGACGCATTGACGATGTATTTTGTTTACAGGAAAAATGATACGAAACTGGCCAAATTCCACTTGAGGATCTCAAAAAGAGAAATGTATCCCGCAAACGACAGCTATGTGCCAATGCTGCTGAAGGAGATGTCCAAAAGTCCAATTAAAAAAGTAGGTAAGTGTTCGGCTCGATTATTAGTATATAATATTTATTTAATCGGTTAGAGTTCTCTCCAATCAGAAGTAATACACTTGCTAATGCTGCAACTGATTTGTTTGCTTTAGACCAAAAAGAAGGCGGAACGCAGCTTAAGCTCATTATGGAATTTTTTAACGGGGACAAAGCTCTGATGAAGCCTATGAGGTAAATAATTAACTAAACATGTTTGTATTTGCGCAAAATCAGTGAGGATCTTTTTTTGACTCGCTGTATTATTTACAAATGGATTTTAGCTTGTACAATGTACATGTATACAGTATAGTAAAAGTAAACGTTACTAAATCATTAGCGTTTAATGTATGCAAATGGATGCTGTAATTGCATGCCCCTTTTTAATCGAACTTCTGACATGTTGACGTTTTATAAGAGCTTTTTTTTCACCGTTTGTTTGAAAACTTAGGTATAAATAAATATAAATATTTTTCTTCTTCCTAAGATAGCGTTTTTCAGATTAATATTAACGCAAAATGATAATGTTTTGCGTTAATCAAAAGATCATTAGGTTTGATTCAGCTGTTATATTTTTATTAATAATCGACGCGTATTTTACATTCTTGTCAAAATATTGTTAGACTTGATAAAATATAACTGAATAACCGTGTTTTAAACATATTGCATGTATGTATTATAATGTATACTTTTTCATTACTTTTTTTTGTGTGATGCAGGTTTCCCAGAGAACAGCAGACTCTGCCGAATCATTTCTATTTCACCGACTACGAGAGACACAACGCTGAAATCGCTGCGTTTCATCTTGACAGGTACATTCTTTACTATCCAATCTTTCATATTATGTATTAGTTTCGACTGATTGCAGCCCAATTTGAGATTGTGCTATATGATAGTAGTCGTAGTTGCATCATCGGGGCACGTGTCCATTTGTGAAACGATGCGGTTTATTTTAGAAACGATAAACGGCGGTTTCGATTTAAATACAAACATTATAAGTTTATAAATACTTTGGCTGTCATTTAGTAAAGGTGCATTATCTTTTGTTACCGGTTTAGGTTGATCGTATCTGCGGCGATCAAACAAACAGCACTATATGTATCGTATAGAGCAATAATCATTATATATGTATAACCGTACTTAAATCATTAAAAAAAGCGCTGTGTTCAGTATTTGTCAGAAGGCAATATTAAATTTCAATGGCTATGCATAGCCCAATCTACCTAAAAATGCACTTACAAAACAACTTTTTCATCGATACGAGACATAGCTTCTAGGGACGATTTCAATAAAAAGAGATATTTATTATACCACAATTTTAATACATTTGCTTATTTCAATTTTCAATCGCCAATGCTTGTTGATGAGATACAGCAATTGATTTATCCTCGCAATAATTATTATGTGATCCAGAATTTTCTCTTTTGGCTAATGCCCGGTTTTCGTTACAGGGTAATGGAATTCAGAAGAGCGATGCCAGTCAGTGGTCGACTGATGAACATTACTACCGAAATTATGAACCTCGTATCTGACGAGGAATTGCTCAAGACATTCTTTGTGTCGCCTGCCCGAAACCTGTGTTTCCACGGTCATTGTTCGTATTACTGCGACACGTCACACGCCATATGCGGTAATCCCGATATGTTGGAAGGTTCTCTGGCCGCCTACTTGCCATCCCAGAACGTACTGGAACGCAAAACTTGGCGACACCCTTGGCGGCGTAGTTACCATAAACGGAAAAAAGCCAAATGGGAAACAGGTGAGTTAATCTTTCGATTCGTCGGTTTTCCGTGTAACCGGTCGGACATCAACTTTTTTTCAGATTTTGTTTACTTATATTAGACACCTAATTACTGAACAAAACTAATTAAAAATATTTAACAAACGTTGTTAATTTGTTTTATAAGTTCTACTTTTCACTCCAATACTTTCAATACATGGCCTCCGCTAGCTTTTCATTAATACAATTAATTCTGGAAATTAAAATCGTTAATCAATAAAATACACTTTTAACAATGAAACTCTAAAATTGAGTAAAAGTATACAAGTTTTTTTTTTAAAGGTATTGTGTTTTTTTGGTTGTTATTTATTTACATAAAACACGATTATTACAGATGCGAACTATTGTGACTTGATCAGACAGGTGGAACCGTACAACACTGGACGTCGACTCCTAGATATGATGGACTTGTCCGTATTCGATTTCCTAATGGGTAATATGGACCGTCACCACTACGAGACTTTCGTGGCGTTCGGTAATGATTCGTTTCCGATCCACCTAGACCATGGCCGAGCTTTCGGCAAGCCGTTCCACGATGAGATGAGCATATTAGCTCCTATCGCACAGTGTTGCCATATACGCAAGTCCACGTTAGAAATGTTGCTCAGGTAAATCAATAACTTTTACATGGATAGTATTTAAGGAAAACGATTAATCAAAACAGTGCTCGAAGTCATTAGCCGATTTTCTTTGTTGCTCTAACGACTTGGACTTTGTTAATGAAGCAATGCATATTTGTAGAGAAGTTTATGTAGCGATTATTTCATCAGGGCCGGCTCATAGATATTATCTTGTACAGACATATTAATATTTGTCTGCAGGTCCTATGTTACGAGTTGTGAGTGTTTTACGTTGTAGCCTTACAGGGCGTCCAACAGACTTACGACTCACGGCGGTAGAATCATTTGTAGAATCATTGTCTTTGGGAAATTTAATACCAATCGACGTTCGGCATCCGGACCCTTCAGTGAAAAAAAGCACATCCCTTACGCCGGAGTTTGTTTGCTCAATACATTAGTTTGGCTGCCATGTCCTCTATGGCGTCGTCGGTGCGGTGCGGCTATTCGAGTGCGGAAATTCAGACTTTACTGTTCTGCCACGGTCGTTGTATAAAAGCACCCCGGAGAATAAACGGCGTGCCAATATTGTCGGGCGAGACCCCACGACGGGAGATAATCTTAAATAAACGGCGGCCGTTAAGAGAGGTAGAAAAGCTATTACGCGAGCATTTGCAAACACACGGTAGTCCGGCCGGCCGATAAAATATTCAGCGAGGACAAAAAGCCATGACCGGCGACAGTGCAGAATGACGCTGTTGTCGCTCCGTGTGTACCTGAGAGTACTTAGCGATATTATTTTCGTCGACGCCAACTATCTTCTAGGCGACCGTTCGGTTATTAAAACCCGACTTGGCCGTCATAGTTATGATACCGATGTATAAAGCCTTCACTATAAATTATTAAATGAAAGTCGAAGCTTCAATTAAATATTATATGTTACAGTCTTTCGGTCAATTATTGTCGCACTTAAATTGAGTATTAAATTGCGAGCACAATTCTTATACTATTCCGCAATATCGTCAGAAAACTAATAATATTGCTTTTGAATTCATTCGTTTACAAGTTGAATGTTTTTTTTTTCTACAAAACACCTGCGTGTCGGATAATATAATCGGACGAACAGTCAATTTAGAGAAAAGTTTTAAATGTGAAAAGTTTAAATGTTGGGCTATTTGTCCAATAATTGTTATACGAGAAAAACCAACGGATAAGGTTTATTGAGAATTGGCTTTGTGAGGTAGTGTTATAGTAGTATAAAAGAAAAAAAAGTCCGTGAGTTCGAAAAACATATATTATGAGACATACATGAAGTAATAACGAAACGGTTTATAAGTGCAATAGATAAAAACACCAACAATACATTCGGAATGTCCATAGGAGATTTTGGATAATACCAAATAAAAATATTTAAATGCAAACATTTTCAGTAGGCTTTATATTACGAGTATATTGCATATTATACATCTAATAAATGTATAGGCTAATCGGTTTATTGTTATTTATCACAAAAGTTAAAGATAAAACCCATTTAAGTTTTATAAACAAAGACAACAAAAATACGTTGAAACCAAACAATCCAAGTTATATTAAAATAGAAAACAATAAAATATACTGTAGGTATAAAACAGGTTAAAAGGTACACGAGTTTTTTTTATTTCCACGCTGTTGTTTTGTTATTTTAATTTTATTGAAGGTTTAGAAAAATAATTTTATTGCGTCGACATCATAAAAATAATTTTCTTTAAAATTTTTAAATAATTATTTTTTTAATTAAAATTGAGTATGTTGCGGCGGTATTTTAATCAACTTGCTTAAAATAATAAAAATGTTTGTCAAAACATCAATTGTATCACAATATAACCAGACCAAATATAACAATATTTGTTTAACTTTATTAAAAAAATCACATACTTGACATTAGTTATAGACTCTTTTTTTTAAATTAAAATAATCTGTTTAAATATCTTGATACCTTGTTTGTAATTGTTCTACGTTTATCTCCTCTTTAAGTTTGTTAGCCACATTTAATAGTTTTAATTCAATTGTGTTCAATGTATCTCTTGCGCAGTTAAACACCGTGACGTCTGTTAATTCTTTTAATACACATACTTCTGTTTCTTGCCATTTTATAAATTTGTTTGCCTTTTCTTCGCAATTTTGAAAAATCACGTCTAAAGACTTACATTTGTTTTTAATGATTTCGCTGAATTCATGGATGTTGTCTTGGTTGTTGGTCAAAATTACTGGTAAAGAGTTTTTAAGATGTTCAATATTATTATTAGTACTTTCTTCCGACATCATAATATTATCTGTTCAAAATTGAATTTGTTACAACTTACAAATAAACAAGAATACCAGTTGCTAGGTTCGTATGGTAAACAGATGTGAACAACAACTAACATAATACCTTGTGGATAATAGTGTAACCCATTAGTGTTCATCTGAAATTAGAAAATATACTCAATACTTATGTCAGCGTTTTATTAGAGATAGTATTATCTTTACAGCTAGCCCATCATCACATAATATGTATAATATATAACTTATATTTTTACAAAAACAATAAAATCATCAAATGTCCAATATGTATTAATTTATTGACATTAAAACGGTTTTCTAGTGATTGATCAGTCTTGCAGTAGGTGCATTACTCTGTTGAGGTACAAAACATGTTGTATTTATGTATACTTTCGTCCGAACAACATAAAACGATCTATACTACTCGTAAATTTGGTTTATTAAAGATATAATTATAGAGATAATTACACAGACAATATATACTACAAATAGGATTTTGTATTTATTAAACTGTGAGCTTTTTGACGCTCAATGATAGTTTATTATTATCGGTGCAGACAATAGTCAATTTAAACAAACCAGTTTTTGTTACAGATTAAACGGTCAAATGTTACGTAGTAACATTTTTCTTCTTTTTTTTTTAACTTTCTTGCTTTTTATTCTTTCAGGTTCCACAACGGTAAAAAGCTTAGCGAATACTTGGAGGAGTCGATGAACACCGATCCGCTGGCCCCTATTTTATGGCAACCTCACTTGGAAGCCGTTGACCGACGCGTGGGACTCGTGCTGGCAGTGGTCCGCGCATGTATAAATCATTTGACAACCAAAGTGGACCGTTACGATTCGCAGCGGCCCGTTCATTCAGCAGACGGATCCAGTGAGTTTCAGAAAATACTCCAATCCAATCTGGAAGCTGAGACAGTGACGAGGTCTGAAGAGATAAAGACTAAAAACCCCGATTCGTTAGACATGCCCCATCAAGTCGACCAACCACACCGCGTGTGACGTAAACATAATTATAAGCCCTCCTATATAATTGTACTTGTCTCCGTTCGTGTGCACTGTACATATAAATGCTCCAAGTGTATATGTCATATTTTTACGGTATTATTATAGTTTTTGTATATTATTATTTATAATATGTACTGTTAACGACTAGTCTGTGAAGATAGTGACGGCGTCACTTTTAATTCGCCGCTAATAGTATAATATATAGTTGAGTACAATCGGTATTTATAAACAATGATAGGCGAAAAGTTAGTTTTGGTCATCAAGAAAAGTTTATAAGCTACTATGTTATAGGTATGTACAAAAATCGATAGTTAACAATCGACTGACATTATAAGTCTGTTAAAAATGTATATTTATATTTTTTAATGTCTATAATAATTTTTACTCCAAATTAAATTTTTTTTAAAAAAATCATTTTTCTTACTACAACAGGCGACGTTCTAAAGTCATAAACTATACTCTATTGCTATGTATAATAAAATACAATAAAGTTAATATTGTTTAAATTGTTTGTATTAATAATAATTAGTACTATAAATGTTAAACGTTGTTGCTTTTGATAAGCAACAAACTATACTGTACTGTTGGTATACATGTGATTGTTTCATGTTCCTGTAAGGGCTTAAGGTACAATAATATTTTTATTTTAGTCTTAACGTATTTGTTTGTAAATTTTGTTCTAGAATCACCTATTTCTACTGACTAAAATAGTATAGAAAAGATACTCATTTAAATGATATTTTTCTCAAAAGTTATTTATTACTTATACACTTGTAAAAATAATAAAATATTTCACACAGCTTAACACACATAAACTTAGTTTTAATTTAGTTAAAAATAGTTATTTTTAAAATTACAACTCATTGATTAATTATTTTTAATTTTTTTTTTAATAGGAATGTGAGCCTATTGTTTGTTGCTCAAATTAAAACGATAAATTATTACATTTAAAATTGAGAAAAAAGTTGTAGTAGACAAAAATAACTTTATGATTATAATTCATTCTTGCCATAATTTTAAACAAGTGTTTATGCTTTTTATGATAATGAAAGAAAAACTAATAACAATAAATAGTTAACAACAATTTAATAACTATGATGATCAGGTATGCTTTTTAAATAATTAAAAATCTAATTTATTTTCATTTAACGCTTTTTAAAAATAATGAAATGTGTAATTATTCAGAATTCAGAACACTTTATTTTATACTTTATTTATTGATTTAAAAACTTCTATAACTATCTATCTACCCGCTGCGTTCATTGTAATTAAAGTGCTACGGTCGCTGCATTATCAATAGTATACTCGAGTTGCCTTCCACTTCACAGACCTGTTGATTATAAAATGTGTATTACTTATTTTAATTGTTTTTCGTTATAAATTATTTTCTTCATGTCTGTCAAATGTTATTCATATAATTGTAACGTTATTAAATGTTGTATGTTATCGGGTTTGTCAGTTGTTTTTGTTAATGGCGTTTGTTAATCAGTTTTAGTCATTTTTACTATCACGTACATTACCTACGAATTACTATGATGTACCAAATCGTTTTGATTAACGATTATCTTCTTTTATTTTGTGTGAACGTAATCTTTTTAATTTAGGGTAAAACTAAGTATATTTTTTTCCTAATAAATGTATGTTATTTTAAAATGCTGTCGTTAATTAATTTGCATCTTGTTGACATTAGGTCTTTGGGATATGTCGTTTGTAAGATTACAAATAATTCTTAAAAATAAGTCAATAAAAATATTATTCAAAATGTACGATTTGGCCTAACACCAACTATACTTATTGGTTAATGATGGTGGTTAAGTCGAACTGAATGTACTCCTGAGAATTCCCAGATTATTTTAGTTTTCGTTTCATTAAAATCGTTTCAGTAGTTTGAGCAGAAATTGGAATCAAACTAACTTACATACATACACATTACACACATTACCCTTCGTCTTTCGCAGTGTAAAAATGGTTGGCTGCATTACTACGTAGTGTGTATGAATAAATAGCGCCATCTGTTGGAAAACAGTGTTGTAAAGTTCATACCGTTATTGACAGATTAAATACTAATGTCTTGCAAAACTGTTATATATACATTGATAAATTAATAAATTAGTAATTATTTATATTTTTTTAACTTTGGTTTTTTAGAAAAATACATATTTTGTAATAGCTGTAATAATTAGTTTTCTTTTCATGTAACATAAATAACTTAGTATCTTATTTACTTTTCAATAGATAAAGCCAATGTAACTAAATATATAATATATATTCATAAACAATAGCGGTACTACTAATATAAAAGCCACTAATTAAAAAAAATGTAATTTAGAGTAATTTCAGAAAGTACATAACATTAGATTTGTTTTAGAAATTATAATTTTAAAAAACAATAGTATTAAATGTAATTGTTTCGTTATAACGAATAAGTACTGTATAATAAATTATTATGTACACAGGTTATTAGTTTCTGTCAACTACATTAATTCTAAGTATAATATAGTAGAATAGAATGGCAGTACTCAAGATAAAAGTCATATAGAACTTTCGGGAAAACTTGAAACAAAGGACCGGAAATTAAAAATACACTGATAAAAATGAACAAAACTTAAGGTTAGTTTCCTTAGAACTTATACAAATAAAACAAAATCGTATTCGCCCCTATTTACAGAACTTATATGAAGGGTTTGCATTAGAAAACCAACACATTTTTCTGAATATTATCAGAATCATTAAATATTCTTCAAATTAACTTTATAATAGGAGTAATTTACGATAAACGACATTCAAATTTTTATAATTGCAGTATAAAACTGTAAATATTATTTGTTCGCAAGTAAAATACATAATAAAGTAAATGCATGGAGCCTTAAATTATGAGGACATTACATTTTACTATAAAAATCTGGGCTTCGTTTTGCTGAATAAAAAGTAATTTCATACAATACAACATTGTAGTATGGATATTTTTTAAATTATTTATTACAAAATACAACGTATTTGTGTGTACTTGTTTGGAAAAATAATTTTCGTACTTTCGTAAAATTTGTATGATATATGCATTATACAGGCTCAGTTCAAAATTTGAACTTTAAATGATAGGGATTACACGGGTTAGCTTAAACTCTACCTTTCGAATTGATACGATAATTATTTATAATTGGTTGAAGGATTTAGGACTTTCTGCTGATTTTAGACCATTAGTAAAATGTTTTACTGAATTAACAATTAATAATATTTATATTTTTGGTGGAATTGGTATTATACCAAGACGTATAAAAAGTACTACTGCGATACGCACTACATCATGTAATGTATCTACCTAGTATTTATGACTATGTAGATGTTTTTTTAATGAAATAAAATACTACTATACGACAATATTGTATGTACCTATGTATAATCAAATGACATCACATTGAAGTATTTTTTGAGACTGATTGAAGATATGTATTTTATGAATTATGGAAATTCTTAAAATCCTGTGACTTCCCTAACCTCTCTGTGTAGGCTCTTTTTATTTTCTATGTATTCACAATAGATAATTAATTAATTACTATACAATATCAATAGTATTCCAAGTCCATTAATTCATGTGACTTTTAGGTCAAATGAAGTTATTACCTTATAAAAAGGAGTAGATACTTCATCATATTTAAAGAAAATACATTTTGTTTTACTTAATAACAATAAACTAAAATCTCAGTTTTTTTAATTTTAGAATGAACCTTTTATCTAACAACAGTACTACGGTTCTAAAAAAAAAAAGTAATTTTGTCCATTTAAACATAATAGCTGATACTATTTAATATTTTGCCTATAATTATTTTTTAGATGATTTAGTTTTAAATTAGTATATATTATACTTTATAGTTAAATAATACACCATTACACATTTTTATTATTATTATTAAGTATAAAAAATAAATTTAAATACTTTTAAATTAAGTAGTTAGTTGTTTGATTACAGCTGTAATCCACAGAAGCAAATTCAGTGACATGGAAACTACTACTTACAAAAACAAGTACAAATGTATACACTGCACAATATTTGTAATCATTTTATACATCAGTATAGAATAATGTTTTTTAGTAAATAACTGTTGAATAATTTATTAATACGCTATTAAAGGACGATCGAATAATGATTTCACAGCTGTAATAGTAACATAATTTTTAAATATTGTCAAACTTGGTAATTTTTCGAAAAAATAAAATAATACTAATATTGTTATTTTGCCGCAAAATCCAATTATATACCGGATATTGCGAAGTCGTCGAGACAGGGAGAGGTGAGTATTATAATAGTTGGGCACGTAAAGTTTTCGGTCGTACTCAGTCATACCATCAAAATAACAACCATACGTATACAAGAGGTAACATTATATACTATAATAAATCAATTTAATAGTTTAGCCAATATGTGTTCACAGTACGGTGTAATGAGTTTGCGATGACTGCGACGGTTGTCGGGTACGGTCGGGCCGGGTGGAAAATTGATGCGAGATCATACATAATAGAAATACAGGTAAGAATATGAAAAAAAAAGTATGATATACATTATTAAACTTACCCACAGCGCAGCACACTCCATGTGAACCATTTTCGTTCATCGATAGCGGCGGCGTTGGCATCACTGACCCGGCGACGATGAAGTTTGGGGTCGCCTTGCTTACAACAGGTAGTACGCGCTTTGCTTCATTCGTTTGCGGTATTAACGTGGCGGTCCCCGGACGGTAAGCACGTACGTATGCTTAGCGCATCTATTAAACGTGCGGTCGAGCCCAAGAAAAGTCGTTAACGACTCGTGCTTACAAATGTTGTTTGCAGTGCCCGTGCTTGTGCATCAGTGCTTAGAAATTTAAGCACAATTGTGATAACTCCGGCCAATATTTTACTGAAGTATGTGTAAGTAAGGTTTTTTGTTATGTCTGTAGGCAATATCGTTATTTTTCTCAAGACTGATTTACTTGCTCATCCGGCAATAATTACACTCGGTGAGTACTTCAGTCAGTCAGAAGTCAGTATAACTACGCTTCTTCTTGCCCTCGAAAATTCTCGAAACCTTCACTTATTGGTGACTAATAACATTATTTTATGTTGTTTGTCAAATTGTATGTAACTTTTATATTTATATTTTGATAAAAACAATTTTCTGTCCAAAAACATTTGAGAGTAATAATAGAAAATGTAAAAAAAGTTTTTCTGTATTTACCAATCGCGACATGTATTAAAACCTATGCATAAATCGTATTATAAAAATTCACTTGAAGACCCGAATTAGTAAAAGTATTTATGCTTATTTTAGTTTTTAAAATTAGTTTTAAAATTTAATACAAATTCAGAATATAAGAGAAAATGATTGCAGTGTTGATTTAAATATATTATCCATTATATGCCTATTCAAGTATTTTATATATTGTTGTAATGAATTTTACATTTTTTTCTAATAACAAAACAGGTATTTATAACGAGAATTTGTGCAATGAAAATATTCGATCATATACTGTCCAAACATTATACAATATTAAAAAGTAAAAAGTACATACAAATATAATCAGTTAACGTATAAAGTAAAATTCTTAATGAAAATGTGTGCTAAAGCTTGAAATGAGCAGCAATGTTTAATTATTTGTCATAAGATACAAAACAAATACGGTATAAGTATTCAGTTCTATTGTTATGGTAACAAGGGGAAAAGGATATTGGAGAGTTTACTTAGGAAATGTAGTATGTACGTATTTAAACAATTAATGAATTAACTGTTTGTACTTTTTAGATTACACTGTATAAGATATACGTATTTACATTCAACATATAGTTTCAGAATTATTTTATTTTCACGCGTTATATTATAATATACATTCTTGTTGTCTCTGATTCCTCTTATAAGGAGAGGGGAATCGAAATTAGTAAAAATAGTAATTAAAATTAACGAAGGAGAAAAGAGGGGAAGAGGAAGACCGAAAAAATGTGGTGGGATGCGATTTAAAATATGAGCTCTACTGGTGTAGGCAAAAATCTGGTGGCAGATAATGTGAAGTAGAAGTTTATAGGACAAGGTGACTGACCCCGAATAGTTCAAATAAAGGCGAAGGAAAACAAGAAGAATTTAATATAGTATATTAATAATATGTAACACTATCTAGTATATGTTTTATGTATACATACAACTATATAATTTAAAAAATTCTAGCAGACTGAAATGTTCTTGAAGCGATTACAGGCCTGTATTTATTAGAACTGTAAATAATAAAAATTTAAGCAAGTGAAAACGTTATTATTTGCACATTTCTAGATAAAAAAATACTTCACTTATAAATTCAAAATATTTAAAATTATTTTTCTTTCGTAAAAATAGGTTGCCACTCATATTTAAAATTTTTTTATAATATGTTACAGTACACTAGAGTTTTCCTTCTGTGATAATAAGAAATGTTTACCACTCCAGGGTAAAGGGTTAATATTGTTATGTTGTACATTTTTACTTTCATGTTATTCAATATTAATATTTCTAAAGGAAAAAAAAAATAATCATAATACATTTTTATAATGTAAAACAAACATAACTAAAAATTTTAAAAATACATAGAATTGAAGGGTGTTTTATTTTTAGATTTTGTGAAAGATGGTATGATTTGTTTTCAATTATTGGA